TGCATTTGACTACACTTGCTAAAGCTACTTATCACTGCTACCTGTTAGTCTGACTATACCTCGCCTGTTAATTCAGCATCATTAGACAATGGCACGTTAACATTGTATCCATTTAAATGAAATAATATTGCCTGTCTCTCTGACAGTAATCTAACTTATTTTGTATGCTTGGTGATGTCGGAAAACCAGTAACGCTTTGTGAAGCTCTAGACAGCAAGGCAGTAAAAGAAATGCTGCGTGCTAGATGCATTTAGGCATGCTTCCTTCTCTTTCTCTTTAATATATAGATAAAGGGCAATATAGCAGAAATCAATATTGCAGTATTGCCATCATCTTCTGTGAAGGCTGCACCTATCTCAAAAACCTTCATGCAACATTTTAGGGGCACAAAGCATCCATAAAATGCTGTATAAAAGAGAGCCGCACAAAGCACAGAGCTTCTAGCAGCCAAAGAAGAACGAAGCAGAGTGGAGCAGGAAAGGGCTGGGTAGAGATGCTTAGGTATATTCCCCTTGTCTAACATAGACTGGAATCAAGTCACTGCGCAAAGCCAAAGTCCCGAGGAGTGGCAATTGCTGCAAGGCTTAAAATATAACCGACTGTAAGAGCCGGAAACACAGCATCAGGTCCAAAGGGATGGGTGGCTTCAGCAGGTTGCCGTCGAGGCGCAGGTAGCGAAGACGTGGCGCATTTTCAAGATCTGAAGATGCTGCATGAAGAGAGACCAGAGAAGTGGGACATATCCGAGTCCCATTGATTTCTGAAGGCAAAAAAAAGGAAAGGAAAAAAAAACACTGTTAAACAATAAGCTAGGGATAGGGACGTTGCAGAGATCATCAGTTTCATATTTCAGTCTGCTCTTTCAGCATTCATTATTCATCAACTATTGACAGAGTTATTCAAATACAATATTGTATTATTGCAATAGTCCCTTCCAGCTTAAATATATTTATAATTCCACTCCTCTGTATAAAATCATGGAAGAAACTTCCCTTGCCTGCAGTAAACAAAGCCTTTCCTATTCAGTTTTTAATTCCCATGGCTTCCCCCCACATTCATTTAATAAAGGGTCTATATAAATCACTCCTATAGATTGAGTACCTACAAAAGTCGATAACAGTGAGTGTGAAATCCAGGTATAAAACCAACGTTTTAAAGCTCCTTAGAAATCCCACAATTCATTTCATTTCATTTCATTTATTCGAATTTCTATACCGCCCTTCTCCTTTCGGACTCAGGGCGGTGAACAGCCAGATAAAAAACATCTATACAAACATCACAGTTAAAAATAAAGTTAAAATAATTTATAAATTTGGCCCATAATTTAAAACTTGTCAATTAAAATAAATATTAAAATTTTAAAACTAACCCTAAAATCAGGACAGACCGGCTAGCTGAAAAAAATGAGTTTTTAGGGCCCGACGAAAAATCCGGAGGTCGGAGATCACTCGTATCTCTGGGGGTAGATTGTTCCATAGGGTAGGTGCCACCACAGAGAAGGCTCTCCTCCTGGGGGTCGTCAGCCGGCATTGTCTGGCCAACGGCACCCTGAGGAGGCCCTCTCTGTGGGAGCGAACCGGCCGGTGGGAGGCTATTGGTGGCAGAAGGCGGTCCCGTAAGTACCCTGGCCCTAAGCCATGGAGCGCTTTAAAGGTGATCACCAACACCTTGAGGCGCACCCGGAAGTCCACCGGAAGCCAATGCAGCTCGCGCAGGAGAGGAGTCACATGGGAGCGCCCCGTCGCTCCCATAATCCCCCGCGCAGCCGCATTCTGCACCAGTTGGAGCCTCCGGGTGCACCCCAAGGGGAGCCCCATGTAGAGAGCGTTACAATAGTCCAGACGAGAAGTGACGAGTGCTTGAGTGACCGTGCATAGGGAGTCCTGGTCCAGAAAGGGGCGCAACTGGCGTATCAGGCGAACCTGACAAAAAGCCCCCCTGGCCACGGCTGTCATATGCCCTTCTAAGGACAGCCGCGCATCCAGGAGGACACCCAAGTTGCGGGCCCTCTCCGTGGGGGCCAATGATTCGCCCCCAATAACCAGCGATGGCGTCAGCCATGTTTTATAATTGTTAGGATGGTTATTTTAACCTTCTCTGTAACTGTATACACGTTATAGTCTTTTGTGCTGCTTTAAGATATTAGAAATGTGCAGTGAAGACCAGGGATAAACAAGCTAGTACATGCACTTTCTTTGCTGTAATTTTCATTATCCCTTCCCTTCCTTCTACATACACACTGATAGAAAATTTTAATGCAAAGCCTTTTGTTTCCTTCATATCTTAGAATTCTAAATTGTGCACTGAACTTTCAGGAATATAAAGGTTCCCTATTGCAGAACTTTCCAGAGTGAATGAAAATGGAAAGAAAAGTTAGCATCATCATCTTTCTTCATATCTATGCACTACAGCCTAAAACACAAAACATTTATGGACTGCCTTTCTAAAAGTATATTTGTTACATAGTATACTTACCTGAATGCTTGTCTTCAGGTGTGCATTTGATTCATATTTCATTATTAGAAAGCTGTTATTTTGAGATCTACATCTACATATTCAGAATTTATAAAAGACTATTAATTATGAATGATATTGATAGCTCAGAAATTTGCACTAAGCTCTCCTTATAGAAACCAAGTTGGCTATTACTGTGCCCTTACTGTGGATAATCATCTTGGAATCAGTCAAGTACTTTTTGTTGACTGACTGCAATGTGGGGCAAAACTAAGAGAAAGAGACAAATGGGAAGGCCAAAACCTGGATCTGGAGTTTCCTTCTCTGCATAGCTCTGACTTCTGAGCCTTTTACATCATGTTATCAAACATGGTAAATTATATAATCTTCTAACCATTATGATATTATGGAGCTGAAGTACAATAAACTTGCAGGACATTGTTTTATACAAGTTACAAGATTATGCCGTACTGACTATATAGACCAATGGACAAGAATTCCTATTGAAGCAGATTCTCACATGCAATAAAACAACAACAACAACAAGAAGAAAATTATGTTAAAAAGCAAACAAGACTATGTAATAAGCCCAGATGTCTATTTTACACCAGCAGTGCCATACAGATTCCAGCATCTTCACACATATGATTAGAGGCACCATTATGTGTTCTTCCTCTAATGAAATCTATATCATCATCTGCCCCTCTGGAGTCTACATAGAACAAACAGGACAAACTCTGCACAAAATAGCCGTAGCAACAGCACTTAGACTTATATATCGATTCACAGTGTTTTACAGCCCTCCCTAAGCAGTTTACAGAGTCAGCATATTGCCTTATACAAGCTGGATCCTCATTTTATGGACCTCAGAAGGATGGAAGGCTGAGTCAACCTTGAGCCGGTGAGACTGAAACTGCCAAACTGCTGGCAGCCGGCAGTCAGCAGTATTACCTGCAATACTGCATTTTAACCACTGCGCCACCACGATTCAAAATAATGAATGGATACAAGTTTAACATCAGGATCAAAACAAGCATAAAATAATCACAAAACATTTCAGTCCCTTAGGACATACCATTACAGATTTAAAAACCATTTTGGAAAAAAGGTACTTTAACAGTATACTTGAGTAAGAAGTTGTTGAACTCACATACATAAAAAAAAAAATCAGGATATCTCAGAAGAACTCAATAAAATCAAGAGTTTTTAAAAACACGTTATAATTGTTAATGGAGAAACTATTGCTAATCTGTTTTATATGTAACTTGCCTCAGCATAACCAATCTGTTTATCCTGCCCTTTCCCTCCCCCTGCCTTATTCTAATTTAACTCCTACATTAATTTAGCTGCTCTATGCATCTGAAAGCTGTAGTTCACAAAACCTTATGCCTTTTAAATATAAGTCAGTCTGAAAAACTGCTAACATATTTTTGGTTTTATGGTATTTCAGACTTCGTTACTGTTCAGCACCAGTCATGCTGTACCAATGGGCATGCTAGCTGGGTTGGTAACATTTGAAGAATTACAAATTTTCGCATCTATTGTAAAAACATGGCTCTAAGATAGGGGCACAGAAACTGCAGCTCTTTGGATGATGCTGATCTGTATACCTAAGCACCTTAGCCAGTACAGCTAATGGTGAAGAAACCTATAGAAGAGGTCAAAAGTATTTGTTTCCTGATCTGATAGCATATTCCACAATATTTAGTCCTGTTGTGGCCCCGCCCTCCGACCCTATCTCATCGGAGGAAGAAGGCTCCGAACATGAAGAAGAGGAGTCGGCCAGGCCTCCCTCTCCAGGCCCCTCCCCTCTGGCACTGCCTCAAGTGCCGGCCGAGGAAGAGGAGATTAGTCAGGAGCCAGGTGTCTCTGATGAGAGCGAGGGAGGTGATCTGTCGTTCCTGGATCCACGTCAAAGAAGGCATGATAAACGGTTGCAGCAGTTAAGGAGGCATGCCAGGGATTATAACTGAGTCACTGGACCACACCCCAGAGACTATATAAGAGAGTGTGGTGGCCGTTTAAGACTCTGTGACGGACAAAAACTAACTCTGGCTAGTCACTTGAACAACGCTTAAAGCTGCCGAAAGGTTTCTTGTTTGGAACTGAACTATTTGCAATTTGTGTGTATTTTCTGTTTATCTGATGAAGTAAAGCCCTTGGCAGTCGATGCTCGTATAGCTGCCAAGTTTTAGATAACAACCTGTGTGCGTGCCAAGTGCTTTCTTAACCCTCGGCTGACTGTGTTTGTGTGTGTGTGGAGACGGGGACAGAACAAGTCCAGCAGTATTATAGTAGACCATACCCATGCATAAAGAGGGTGGGGCTCTGATTGAGTTGACACAATACCATCTTGCAGATTTTGACTGGGGGATCAAAATCTCCAAGACAGCATCATGGTATCATGATTCCAACCCCTTTATATGTGTGAACACAATACATGCCAAGTGGTATTGTGTTCATTAAGACTTGACTGGCTGAAGATGTTCATATAGTTTTTCAGATGGATATACCTATCCTTTCTTTTCTTATACATTCACACACAGGAAAAAATAAGAGGAAGAAACCATCCTACAGCAAGCACTGGGGAAGCTTCCAGGACCTCCGAAGACTGTTTCCAACACAATGATTGAGTTGGGAATGGCAGCAGTAGTGGTAACTCTCCCTTCTCCCTCTTTCTCTCTATTTTGCTCTGCTTCTGGTATACCCCTTATTTGGACCCTGCATTTGGATTTTTTTCTTTTGTCTGGATTGCAAAAAACTGCATGACCATTAAACATAACATCAAACAGTAACGGGAAAACTGTAGTTGTTTGTTTCCAGTAAGTGGTCATCCAATTTTTTTTAGCACATATAAAATAATCCTACCCTGTTCAATCAGCTTTACTAAAGGCATGGAGCAAACAAGGTGTAGCCTTTGTTATATTTACTGTATGTCACTAATATTAAGTACATTTTGTATGATCTTAAGATGAGACTAATTCCACAAATTATTCTTATTCACAGCTATCATACACACCAGTGGTTCAGAGATTGAGTTGTTGGTCAATCTCATTATATTGGAAGTATAAAAAGGACGAGGAGCAGTTAATCATATGATATGGATTCATCCCAGTATTTTCCTAACTTGGTTTAATAATCATAGGTTTACTAATATGGCATTGCCACAATCAAACAGTACGATGTGAATGTGTTTATAAATCTGGGACATGCTGTATTAGAAGATTGCTGGCTTTATCAAGTAGTATGTGTATGAAGGATGGGATGGGGAGACAGTAAAATAATTACTTTTCAATGTTGGAAAGACAATGCAACCCCAGATGTACAAAGTTTAATCAACTACACATGGTTACTTTTGGTTTATGAGCTGCTATTTTCAATATAATAGAAAAGCTGATATGTGGTCATGGTTTAATGAAGTGTTTAAAAATTAGGCTGTATTCTTTCCTTTATGTAATATATACAGTATAGCTTGCTTTCAGAAATTGTGGGTGCTCCCTCACTGGAGGCTTTTAAGAAGAGACTGGACAGCCACTTGTCTGGAATGATATAGGGCACTGATGGTTAACCTTTTCAGCACTGAGTGCTGAAACTGAAGCATGTTGGAGTGCATGTGCGCGCCAGAGCGCATGCCCACAGAGAGAACTCTGTGTGCCACCTCTGGCACACATGCCATAGGTTCGCCAACACGGGTATAGGATCTCCGGCTTGAGCAGGGGGCTGGACTAGAAGACCTCCAAGGTCCTTTCCGATTCTGTTATTCCGTTATATTTTTGTCTTCTTTCCTTTGTTTCTGTAATTTATTTTTTGTATTTTTCTAATCTTTCCTTGCTTTTTGTATATTAAAGCAGTAATATGAAAAGTAAAATTAAAAAAATAGTATCTCTGCTGCTAGAAAATGTTTTATCCTTACTGTTCAGACTAATGCTCAGAAACATATGCATAGCTTTTTTTTTTTAAAAAAAAAAATCTTCAGTCCTTTTCATTTAAGATGTTAAAGAGTGTTATGATTGTCTACTGAAATTCTGGGTTTGAAGTAGGATTCAGGTCCTTTCTATATGAGGCCTATCTTATAAGGACATTTTATTGGCCTACAGAGTTGCCAAAAGTTTAACTTGAAAGAAAAATCCAAGCTTTTGGGGTTGGTTTGAAGTACAGCGGCTCATTATTTTCTTTATTACTTCCTTGTTAAGATTTTCTGGAAGGAATTCTGCATTTCTTAAACGCAGATGTTTTCAATTAAGGCAACAGATGTTGGGAACTCCTGCTGAACATACTACTGGGAACAGGAAGAAGAAATGTTTTATTTTTCTACAACAATGTTGGTGTATTCTGAAGGATACAAACTAATGTATGAAATTATTAAGGCTTTATCCAATAGTATGGGAAATATATGTTGATTTTTAAAAAAAAACATATTTAAAGACACAAAATGTGAAAACTCATTGATATTTTCTCTCTATAATCCTTCACACAGTCACCCATTAATTTAAATTAATATAAAAATAGTATGCAAAAAAATTAAAATTGCTTTGATTTGCAATGCTTTCTCAGCCAAGAGAAAAGTTTTGGAAAATTAGTCAGTCCTACAAACCAAAATCTATTAGCTATAGATTGACAGAAGCCACCGAAAATGGCTTCTGGGATGGGTGCTGAGTTTTTTGCCTCCCTTCCTCTCTCTCCCTATATGAAACAAACATAAAAATAATTTCCATTTTTGTTATATGGAAAGATCTAAATGTTTCTTTATATGGAAATAGTTCAATTTGCATGGAAAAGAACAATTTGCTCTCAGCCTGACTCCTCTGTACCCACCCACCCTGTTCTGTTCAATCATCTGTCCTAACAGTCATAAAGTTACAGCTTCAGGCAAGATGGAATTTATAATTTCGTGGAATCCCATGGAGTAATGACTTAAGAACAATGAGGGAAAATAAGATTTCTTACTGAAGTTCCCTTGGAAACATCAACATAAGTAAGTCATTTTGGAATTTTTAAAATGAATGTTGAGTCATGAGATAATCTACCTCTTCCCACTCCCCTTCTACCCCACAAACAGGATCTCTTGTAGGTCTAATCAATTACAGACTTGTGCCAACTCACGTTGAATTGAGTTGTCATTCAAGTAGAGGTGCTCCAGCTTCGGGCTGATGAAGGGGATGCTGGTGAGGTTGTTGTATGCCAAATGCAAAACCAGCAAATTGGTGATGTTGAAAGTGTCGATAGGCAATCCTTTGTCAGACAGTTTATTATAGTTAAGCCTGATGAAGGCCAAGTTGGAGAAATCTTTGAAGTAATTGTTGGGGATATTATCAATTTGATTCTCATCAAGAAAGAGCTGGTGAATGACTTTGGGAACCCCAGGAGGCATCTTACTTAGCCGGTTATGAGCCAGGTTGAGTTGCATGAGGTTCTTGAGCCCCTTGAAAGTATTCTTTTTGAAGTCTCCATTATCCAGTTGATTATGATGAAGATCTAAAAGGAGGAGGTGATCTAACTTGCTGAAAACATTTTCAGGGATTTTGGAGATACGATTTCTGCTCAGCCTAAGTTGCTCAAGATTGGGAGGCAAATTGTTGGGCACTTCCTTAAGGAAATTTTTTTCCATGTACAGAAAGACAAGGTTATCCAACTTATTTAGTACTTGTGATCCCACTGAATCAATGCGGTTGTTGTCCAAACTGATCCACCGCAGCCCTGTTGCATTCTTGAAAGATTCTTCAGAGATCTTGTCAATGAAATTGTTTTGTAGATACACATATTGGGCCCTGGGTGGGATGAGTGGGATTTTTCTCAGGTTGCGGCTGTCACAATAAATGGCTGAAGGAAAATCTGGGGGGCAGAAGCATTCTCGGGGACAATCTGGAAAAACTGAGGGTGGTCCTGGGGGCAGAGGTGGAGGGAAATCAGTTGGTTCAACTGGCTCAGGGAGTGAAGGAGGTGGGCGCTTCTTTGGAGGTTTGGTGCGCCTCTGTCCATTCACCTCACAAATCAGCAAAAAAATGAGTGGGAAAATCAATCTGGCAATCCTCTTCATGTCTAAATAGAACAAGAAGAAAGAGAAGCAAGCATTAAAAAATATACTCCTTCATTCATTTGTTCATTCAATATTAAGTACATATTTTCCTACATAGACTGTTCTTCTTCTTTTGCTTTGCGTTTATGTTTGTAAATAGAATTTTGAGAGCTTGCAAATCTTGTTAAAAACAACAGTTCAAAATATTGGGTAACAACAGGCTGACAGAAATCTGCGATGGAATGTTTGAACTTAGGAGTCAGCCACCTGTTACAACTTAAGTGTGATCCAACTGGGATGGGACAGAAATTTTGATATATATAATCCAATGCTGAAAAAAAAAATCCATGAGGAATGGAGTCAATGAGAATGCTAGTCACATACTTCAAATAGTTGCAGAGAGTTAACAATGATGGGGATACACTACCAATGAACCCTCTTGGATCAGCACATACAACATACAACACGACCATAGAACAGCATTCTCATATCATACATCACATTGCCTTCTGCCAGGTTTTGGATGCAGGTAGTCCTCAACTTACAATAGTTCGTTTACTGACTGTTTGTAGTTACAATAGCACTGAAAAAAGTGACTTATGATTGTTTTTCACACTTACAAGTGTTGCAGCATCCCCATAGTCAGATGATCAAAATTCAGACTCTTGGCTATTGACTCATATTTATGATGGTTACAATGTCCTGGATCATGTGATCATTTTTGTGACCTTATGACAAGCAAAGTCAATGAAGAAGCCAGATTCACTTAACAACCATGTTACTTAATTAACATCTGTAGTGATTCAGTTAACAACTGTGCCAAGAAAGGTCATAAAATGGGGCAAAAATTCACTTAACAACTTCTGTTTCTCATTTCCTGATTTCCATTATCATATCTCTTGCTTCCCTGACCTTATTCATACTTCACAGATGATGAAGGAAACTGAAGTCACTGTCCATCTCTTTGCTTTGGTCTGTTTTGTCCTCATTAGTGTGGACTTTTCTCTCTGAATAGATCTCTAATCTTTTTCCCAGGAGGGCAATATGTTTTCCTTGCAGACCTCATCCTTTTTGTATCCTATGCTCCAAACGAATGGTTGGGAACAAGAACAAATACAGGTAGCCCTTGATCTATGACCATATCTGAGCCCCAAATTTCTGTTCCTAGAGAAACACATTGCCCTCCTGGGATAAAGATTAGAGATCTATTCAAAGAGAAAAGTCCACACTAATGAGGACAAAACAGACCAAAGCAGAGAGACAGACAGTTACTTCAGCTTCCTCCATCATCTGTGAAGTGTAAATAGGGTGAAAGAAGCAAGAGATGTGATAACGGAAAGCAGGAAATGAGAAACAGAAGTTGGAAGGGGTAGTGATGGTAGTTTGCAGGTCTAGAATACATATAAAAATATAAGACATCTCTGAGGCCCTCAGGGTAAACTTTACAAAATAACAAAGCCATGTTAAGGGAAATGGCTTTTTAGTTTATGCCTCCAATTCCAAAACTCAAACACTCCTGCTAATAATTCAAAAGCTGCCTGAATTCCATACTGAGTGGAAATTCATGAAAACATGAGAAAATTCTCATGTTTTCTATAGAAAATATTTCAAGAATACTGACGTGGCTTTTTTATGAACTTAGACCAACATGCCCCAGCACAAGCTTAAAAGGAGGACATTTGATAAAGGGAGGGCAGGGATATTAATCCATAGCTTGGCACATTTGTACTTATCAGAATACTACATTGACAGTAGACTTCTGCATGGCCCAACCAACCATCCTTTTTGGTTCATTGTTCTTTGGCAATCAGGGGACCAGGTCCTATTATCACAGTTAGACAAGTTCTGCAAGGTATTTCCTGGCAGGACTCACTATGCTTTATTTATCTTCCTAATTTTAATTCTTCCCATTACATATTCTAATCCACCTGCCTCAGTTTCTTGGTAGAAATATCTATCTCATTTCAGTGCCTCAAAAAGCTTGCTTGCTTTTTGAGGCACAGTCTCAAAAAGTTCCTAGGTTCACCAAGCTTTCTCCTCATCCTGACCAAATTCCAGAAGCAACCTATCCATCACCCATTATCAACAAAAACACAATGACATACATGGCAAAAGCATATTGCAAGTCAAGAAAAGTTAATCTTGAAAGAGAAAGACTTATATGGGAATACCAAACAATTCCCTGGAATTGCACCCTGGAAGAGTACATGTGTAGTGGAAATTGCTCCATCAATAAAGCTGTAAGGGCAAGGCCTCTTAGGGTTCCAGTTCTGTCCTATCATTGTCTGCTATGACATCGGTAGGATGATGAAGCCTGTCTGGAACAGTGATCCCATGGAGCAGGAGTCAACAACCTTTTAGACCTCAGGGACCAGTAAATTCATAATTTTAAATCCTGCGGACCACTAATATGATCTGCCTAATGACTGGCTGGGTGGGCGTGGCTAGGTGGTCATGTGACTGGGTGGGTTTGGCCAACTCACATTGAGGGGTGCCTCATCGGCCTTTATTTGTCCCTCCCCTCCCAGCCACTCCTCGCCTCCCCACCTGGGCTCCTTAGCGCCCCAACAGGAAGCAGTTGTTGGAGCTAAGCAGCCACCATGAAAAAGAGTTGGCAAAACAGCTCAGTTCAGATTGGATCTCACCTCACTGAGGACTAGGAGCATAGGCTTTCCAAGCAGAGGGAAGACCTGTGGGAGTGCAAGGCCAGGTACCGGCACCTGGAGGCTCAGCGGGCTGAGATGCTCAGCCAGTTCCAGGCCATGATGCAGTCGCACTGGAACAAGGTTCTCTGGCTCTTCGTCATCAGTGGCACTTCCCTCCAGCCTTTGCCCAAAGCCCCACACCAGGAGGCCGAAGCAGACCCCAAGTCAGAATTTCTGTCCCCCTTCGACTCACACAAAAGACTCCGAAGGGGGAGACTCTCTGCAGCATCACAAACATTCATTGCATGTATCTGTCCCAGGGTCCATAGTTTGAGGACCCCTGATTTGCATTTTTATATTGCAATATAAAAAATGCAAATAATTTTTCTCCGGAGCACCAACATTTTCTCGCGGACCACCAGTGGTCCACCGACCACCGGAAGATGATGTGCCACGAGCCCTTTGCCTTTTGGGAAAAAAGTCTGTGGACAGGAAACAAAGACAGAGAGAAAGTAAAATTAGCAATAGCCAATAGCCAGAGAATGTCAGTGTTTGGGAGTTTTTCGTGCTAAGGAAAGAGAGTCTGAAGACAGAATGGCACCACTTGAATGATGGATTATAGCTCATACTTTGCATATCCAGCCCCATTCCTTGGGGATTATTTATATGTATGGATATCGTAATGGAATTTCTTGTTGGTGGTTTCATTTCATTCTGCTCTAAACATCCAGATATGGCCAACGTGCTTACAAGAATCTGTGGACTGAGATTCTCAGTTTAGTCACTGATTTAGTCACTGAGAAGCAAAGCTGTGACTAAAATGGCCTAGTGCCAGCAGAGATTTCTTCCAAAAGGTGAAGGACTCATGGCTCATGATATTCCATGCATTTAGAAGAAAGAACCCTGAAATCTCAACAGCAGTTGCCAGGGTGCTTAGTCTGTTTAGTCCTCCATGGGATCACTGTTCCAGGCAGGCTTTATCAACCTGCCGATGTCATAGCAGACACATGTGGGGATGGCTGCCTCCTCTGCAAGGTAACCTTATCCCCAGCACTCAGTGATGGAGGGGTACAAAGTTATACAGGTAAGAAAGGCACAATCTAAAGCAAGATGGGGGGGGGGGATTATTGCAGCAAATCTAACACAGCAAATGTTGCAGCAAATTTATTGCAGCAAATCTCTTTCACAGGCTTAACTGTGTCAAGTACTTCATCCAGATATCCAACTGGAGCAGGGGTGAAATCTACTTACCTTCCTTACTGGTTTGGAAGTGCGCACGTGCGTCACATGCGCAAGCAGATCCTCTGCGCATGTGCAAAACCTTCTGCGCATGCACAGAGGGTAAAAAACACATTACTTCCTGGTTAAAACCAGGAAGTAACAACACCCGAGTGGGTGGGCGGAGCCTCGTGCCACCATCGCTACCAGTTCTCCGAACCACCTGCCACAATCGCTACTGGATCGCCCAAGCCGGTCCGAGCTGGGAGCATTTCACCCCTGAACTGGAGCCACATGAGTATTGCAGTTGGGATATTGTTGTTTGACCAATTAAAGCAACATGACTGTAAGGATGCTGAAACAAAGAACCATTAGCTATTGTTTAGGTTCCCAGTTGTCCTCTTGAAACAGTTTGTTTTGCTATATGTTCCCTTTGGGTACAAATTTTAATTACTTTAAAATTAATTCTAGTGAATTATATGTCTGAGTAATATAAAGCCAGATGCCTATTTATATTGCTAGAGTGTCATTACTGGGAATTGAAATATGTGATGCTTTCTCCTCTATCAAAGAAATGTTCCTGTTCTTTTAAATATGTATTTCCTCCAAGTAAATCAACAGGAGATATATTTCTGGAGCTGATTTTTTTTATGCCATTAAAATGTGCAGAGTAAGATGAAGTCACGTGTTATCTCCCTTTCTCCCATGATTTCAACATATCTGAACCATTTTTGACAGCAAATCTGAGCAATTTTGCTGATGTATGTCAAATTCCATCAATATAGTAGAACCACCACAAATCTTGTCTATAGTTTTGTTTCCTGAATTCCACAAAGTCTTAGATAGAAAAGTGCATTATTTTTTATGACAACAGCATTTTCCCTAGTTCTTTTTTCAGAGTTGAGAGTCATATCGAATAATTTGTTTATGTGATCTTAAGAAGAATGACGTACAACCATTAGTTTTTATGATTATTTATACATTCCAGAAGCCTACAAAGAATAACCTACCCTATCATGATGTCCTTGCTTTTACAGTATCCTTCCATTCTTAAAGCTTATTTCATTCCAGTAATTCATTTTAAGATGTGGTGGCCTTTTCCTAGAGCACTAGCAATGTTAGTTAATACAAAAATATCAGGTTTTATATTCAGTTGCTTTACATTTATAAACTTAGAAAATACTTGGAATTTGAATTGTAATTAACACATGAGAAGTGTTAAAAATGGTTTTTATTACAGTACTTTAATGAAATAGAATATCCACTTCTTGTGACCTAGAAAATCCGTCTAGCAAGTTTAGCTGGTCCATCACAAAATGGCTGCTGCAGAAAAATACCCAGGTATTAAAAAAAAAAAAAACAAATTGATCAAGGTAAAAGATAAACAATTTGCCCTAAATTCTAAGAATGAAGGAAAGGTGATGTCTGATTTCCAAACTAACATCATTATTCCTTTTAATCCACAGTTCCACCTCTTTGAGGATTCCTCCAAAAATAATTTTTCCCTTTCCAAAACAAAAGCACGTTTTTCTCTCTTTCAGGCTCCCCACCATGAACGCATTCTCCATTTAAAAGACAGATACACATTTGTACATACTTTCCATATAATATTATCCAGTCAGAGGCCATCATGCTCTGTTCAGTCATCATCCAACATACTCCTCTTGTCCTCCAATTTATTACCCTAAATTTAATACCCTCCTCTCCCTTGCCCAGTCAAGTTTCTACATGCCATCCCTCATGGTGCCCATCAGTTCTTCTCATCAGTCTCTGAGGATGGAATTCTATGCCACCTGAATCCATCCAAGATTGCCCACCACTCTGACTATGTTAATTTCCTTTCCTTTCCTTTTCAAGTTATGTTGCATATTGATAGCTGTTGTATGTCACCATCATATTAGATGTTCTTAAATATTGACTACATCTCAGTTGCTGGAGAACCATTAACCTCTAAAATGTTAATACAACTGCTGTCATTTATAAGTAAGCAAGGTAATAAACAAAATATTCATCATCAAATGAAATTTCAAGTAGTGTCATTTTTACTGAAAATTATTCTTAATCCTGATATAGGGATCAAATGTAGCATGTAAATGCATTCAGACTTCATAATCCATAAAAGCACATGTGAGTTCAGACTTTTGTAATCCCTGATCTTTTCTTTGGAAAGTCAAAGTTTAGAAAGTGTGTCTCTAACTGATCCAGTTAGATGGAAAAGGGGATAGAAATAATTAATTCTCCCCCACCTCCCCACTCCTCTACCCCCTTTCCGTTCCATTGTTCCCATAGATGTCTTTTATCTGCCCTTCCTTTCTGTATTTTATGGAAAAGACAAATTGACTTTATCAACTATCCTATTTCTTTGTTTGCAATCTTGTAGCATCCGTTACCAGTTTTGCAATTTTCTGACTCCTTGGGAAAGGAACATACCTGCCTTTTACTAGAGATTTCTTCCAAGCCTTTGAATGAATGTAATTGCATTTTCTTCATTAATGCATTTTTTTTTCTTTTCACCTCGAGCATACAGATGATGAATGCGGCTAACAACTCTTGTGATAAGCTTCCAGTCCTTTCCATCACCCAAGGCTCAAACATTATATTGTGGCTGCCTAAGTCAAACTAGCGCAAACATCTCATTTAACATAGCATTTTCAAAAACATCAAATGATCAGGAAAGGCTCTGATAACCAAGAACATTGAATTCCATTCAAACAAATAATTGAGATTTATAATCCCAGCCGTAAAGAAAATGCAAGCAAACTAAAATCAGCATAGCAAATGTCCTTTAAAGTTGAAAAGAACCTATAAGAAGAGCAGCAGCAGTTAGCTTTGGCTAACAAAAAGAACTAAAAACTAACCTGAATATATGCACCAATGCTTTTAGTGTTTTCATTTTGTGATAGGATGTGCAGTACAAAAGGTTCACATGGGAAAGCTAGAGCCAAAGAAAACAAGTGTGGCAGCAGGAAAAACAACAACTCCATACAAAGACCGTGATGTCTATTCTTCTTGTGTCTTGTGTTCCATCATTTGCTCTTGTTCTCTGCTTGTTACATAGGCTCTAATTAAGGATTATGCCAGGTTAAGAGTGCCAGATCTCTTTACTGAGTGTTTGGCTTTCTGCTGCCCAGATCTGGTAGACCTAATCTCATTCTGCATGTTTTATATGACGACATCAAGATGGAATTTTGTGACATCTCCCAATTTTGAGTTTGCTCTGCTAAACATTTGAGTTTTTCTTTTCTTCTCTACTAGAAGATGACTCCTGCTGCAAAAAAAAACCTGATTAAATGTTGATGGATTATTTCTGTAAATATATTTATATTTCGCTCTTCCTTCCACTATGAGATCACAAGACACATATGTAAGATTTAAAGATCTCTTATTCATGGAATGACTCCAGCTGATCATTGCTTCATATACTTTTAAGTCATATTCTAGGCCTATGCTGCTACTCAATTATGCTTCTGTCAGGCCTTTTGGCAATGTCTAACATCCATTTAGCAGGAGATGTTTAAGCATATAAAAACATAGCACCACTTGTGATCACAGAAAAGAAAGAATATTACTCAGGCCGCAATGCTCAGAGCATTTAACTCCTAATAGACATTGTATTTATCATTTAGAGATATGTGAAGTAAACAGATGGGTTGTTTGTGTCCAAAAGCTTTCACAACAAACAATTTATAGTCTTAGCAAGACAAAACAATGCTCATGTCCTAACACTGGAAATACTCCAACACTATGTGTATTTGGCAAATGATAGCATGCATTGTGAAGAAAAGGAAAGTGTATTGCCTGGTTAGGATATAATGAATTCAGTAAGGTTACTTTCTTGTATTCCTGGAGTTCTCCTACTGTGTATATAAAATTCCTGATGATTCTGAAGTTAGGATTTTTCTTCATACAAATATATATTTTGATAGCAGTGTTATCAAGTGTTTGTACTGAAATCCAGATTGCTTTTAAAAAAAACTGTGGTGAAAATGTGTAAAAAGAAAGTAATTGGAAATATTGTCTGAATGGTTTGTGAAACTTTGGACTTCATTCAATCATATGACATTGGTTAAAGATGGGCCCCAAAACGTATCTGCCCTGTTGACTCTTGTGATATGGGACAAAATAGTTGGAGATAAGTGTGCCACAGCTTCTTTTTCAACTATATCCGATATGGTGGACTCAAGACCCATAAGAACTATCAACTGCACAGGTCCCTTATACAACATTCACACTACTAGAAACATAGTATCTTATATTCCACAATATTAGCAACACTCCTTATGAATAATGGCACAAATTGGACCATGGAGTTTTCCTAAGTGGAACAAGCACTCTGACACTCCCCTTGTGAGAGTCCAGGAGTACCCTAAATTGCATGCTCTTTATGTCTGGAAAATGCTACCCCACCCATAATTAATGGTGAAAAATGCCCAGATTTCAGAGATGAGAAGACCAACTTGAATGTAGTTTGCTTTGATTAAAAGAAAGCATTTGACTTCCTGGATAATCAAATACCTAGAAATAGAGGGAAATAGAAGCATTAGAAGCAATGATACAATGGAAGACACAATTGCTGGACAATGGTGAGTACCATCTACGGGATTTACAGTTGTGCAATTCCAGTCATTAGATGTAGAGCAGGGGTGGGTTCTACTTACTTTTACTACCGGTTCACAGCGGGGCCGCGCGCTCTTCTGCGCATGTGCAGAAGCATTTTGATGACATTGGGGTCAGTGGGCGGAGCCTCCCGCTGGTTTAACTACTGGTTCTATAGAACCGGTGCGAACTGGGGGCAACCCACCACTGATATAGAGTGGATATAGTGCATTGGAATCAAGCTAGAATCAAGTAGAAGTAATAGAAACCTTAGAACTGAAGAAGTTAGACACCACTTAGACACCATCAGCTTTGACAAAATCACCACCAGTAATTGTAAAAGGCAGTTTTACATGGAACAGCTTACATCCTGCTGTTCCTTTAATATTATTAAACCTTTAATATTATTAAACAACAATATCTACCTATCCCAGGTCCTTGGGAAGGATTCAATAGGTGGATAAAAATGCCAAATCCAATCTAAACAGATGGCTGAGTGTGTAACCAATCATAATTATTATACAGCAGTAGGGAGACAGTGAAAAAATTCCCAAAATGGGTAGTTAGAACTGGATCTCTCCTGCCAACTACTACTTGGTGGAAGCAAACTCAGTGGACGAATGGCCATAACAACACCACATCTTCACTCCTAGTTCCCTAAATCAGAATCAATGCGATTGATGATTATTGAGACACCAAAGAAGGGCCAGGATGAATGCAAAATCATCATCCCAGTTTCACCAAAAAATTCATCAAGATGTGTGATCAATGCTGCCTTGGAACTATGGCAAAGTCTGAAACTCAACTATTTTAAAATTCAGATTGATGCTGAAATTGAATTCACTTTCACAGCATCTGCAGGTTTGAAATACACCATCCAATATTGTATCTTGCTAGAATTAATTTATTCAGAAAATACAGGCATGGAAGAGCTGATACCACAATGTTTCAAATAATGTTTCAGTCATTTTAAGAACAAAAATATTGAAAATTTCAAGAAATGTATTTAAACTGAGCTGAAAGGGTTTTGGGGAAACTAAATGTAAAGTTCATCAATTTAAAAGTTAAAAACAGGAAATGTTTCCTCCTTTACTATTTGACCTACTTAAATTCCTACTTAGCATTTTTTTCCAAAGTAAACTGGGGAAAATCTGTCATTTACTGTTCTTCCCCAGTTATTCCTGACCTTCAGTTTATCTCAGTTCTGCTTTCCTGCCTTCCAATTATGTGCCATTATGAATATGACTTTAGTTTAACCTCTATTTTTGCATTATCTGTATAGTCTGACTCTTGTTATAAATTTAGCTGGACCTCTCACTTTGATATACATCAGAAAGGAGCATGATAAGAAGCAGAGTTATTCTCTAAGAAATATGAAGGCATCTGGAAAAAAAATCACTGAATGTTACTTGCCCTGGAATACTTGCAGAAACTGTCAGAAAAATCCAACAATGAAGCCTTTTATCGAAAATTTAAAAATCTATCGCTTCTGCAATGCATATAAACATAGGACTAAAAGTATTGAAAAACCATGATCTTGCTTCCTTAAGATTTATATCAAGCAAAATGTTTTTTCAACTTGATATTTTTTGTTCACATGATGAATGAAATAAGATAGCCTACCATGTGACCTGAAAGAAAGAAAACTGTCTATATGAAATTAAGCAAATGCAGAAGCCAAGAAGTTATAAACAAAGATATTTTAATGGATTTTTAAATTAGTGTGTCTGTTATGCAGAGAAGATTGTATTCCAATATTGATAAGTATAAGCTAAATAGAATACAGCAGGGGGCATGGCATATAACACTATAATTTATTTAGCTAAATAGCTTAATCTGGATTCAATTACCTTTTGAGTTTATTGAAGTCTAAAAATATATGCGGGATAAAATGAGTTTCCCTAAATATTCCTGACACATGATATGTTTTCAGATAACTCCAGTGATAATGGAAGGCCCAATTGTTGAAACCCAACAATTTCTCATTATAGCTTCCTAAATATAAAGGATAATAGATTTGCAATTACAAGGTACATTTACTATAAAACCTAGGTAGGTGGAATTTAACAACAAATGACAACTTTTGAACAAAATGTTCAAGTCATCAGACAGGATTCTTTATTATGGAGAACAATTTATAATAGATAACATAGACTTGTCTTGGATAGAGTACAAATTTGTAGGCAGATGTCAGTAATTTTAAAAAGGCTCAAACCAACCTGCCTAAATCCAAAGATTGTGCAAAACCCCAAATCTGCTTTGCATTTTGGAGTTCTGCTATGTTCTAAATAGTGACATTGTAGGGCAGCTAAAGCAAAAAGGGGGAAATCCTCTTGGGATTTGCAATTTGTGTTCTATTATTTGTACCCTAGTGGGAAGGAGGGGAGGAGAAGAACTGGATGCCATGGTCAGCAAGGATCTTTTCTAATAAGGATTATTATTGTGATCAAGTCTGAATTAAATCCCTAATTACAAAATATAGGGAAACAAGGACAGATTTTTTTTAAAAAAAACTTCTACTTTATTGTTTTGACCTTTTCTTTTTAGCAGTTACATAACAATGTTAATATGTCTGTAATTGCCTATTATTAACTCTTTTCTTCTATAGAAAAGGTCAGTATTTAAGATTTTTTTCCTTCAGCATTTGACTGTCAATTGCATCATATACTGAGGGAAGAACACAGTGCAGGTTTTTGATTGAATAACAACAGATCCCACTCCCTCCACTCTGCCCCTATCCTCCCCACACGTCCTTAGGTTTTAATGCTTGGTTTTAATTTATGTTTTAATGTATATCTATAGTTGTATTTATATGACTGTAAGCCACCCAGAGTTACCCTATGTAAGATAGGCAGCCAATAAATTTTATAAAGAAATATAAATAAATACAAGAGTTATCATTCCATACTATTCCAAACCAACCTCATCAACTAGCTTGTGAAATTTGCCAATGTTCATTATACATTTTATCACAGAATATAAGAAAAAATGTTATACAGGGTTAGAATCCCACTTCATCCCTTACCAATCAAGGTATCAAAGAGTCGCGGTGGTGCAGTGGTTAGAATGAAGTACTGCAGGCTACTTCTGCTGACTGCCAGCTGCCTGCAATTTGGCAGTTTGAATCTCACCAGGCTCAAGGTTGACTCAGCCTTCCATCTTTCTGAGGTGGGTAAAATGAGGACCCAGATTGTTGGGGGCAATATACTGACTTGGTAAACTGCTTAGAGAGGGCTGTAAAGCACTGTGAAGCGGTATATAAGTCTAAGTGCTATTGC